GCCCAGTTTAGTTCAGACCCCACTGGGTATCGAGGGGCCTGGTCGGCGTCCAAGGGAGATGCCCAGCTGGTGGCTGGACTGTGGGGTGATGGCCCAGGGAAGAGACCAGGGCTGGCGGGGCCAGTCCACGGTGTCGACACGGCTGCAGGTTCACAAAGCAGAGAGGCCGGCAGATGGGGAGAAGTTGGGATTATAGAACAGAGAAAGGATGTGAGAAGAAACGAGGTTGCTCAGAACCTGAATTTAACAGCAACGCCCTAGCAGATGGGCGGCGGGGGGAGTTGAATCCATTTTGGTTATTTCATACCTGCTGTGTGACCCTGGACCAGTCACTTCCCCTCTCTGGGCCACAGTCTCTCAACTGCTAAAGGAGACAGGCTATAGAACAGGCACCACAGAGCCAGGTTCCTCCACTGAGGCACTGTTGACATTTGAGGTCAGGTTGTCCTCCGGGGCGGGGCCGTCCTGGGCACTGCAGGGCGCTGAGCAGTGTCCCTGGCCTCCATCCACCCGTGCCAGGAGTGCCCCCGAATTGTGACAACCAAAAATGTCCCAGATGTTGCCAAGCGTCCTCCCCACTGACACCGCTGGCTTAGAGCTGGGCGCGGTCGGTGATTATTCGTAGACACCTTTGCGCAGGAGGATGGAGGGTGGGGCCCAAGGCAGGAAATGGAGAGCAGCTTGGTGTTGAGGTGTCCTTTCTCCTCCCACCCTTGGGGTGGGGTGGGGGGTCCTCCAGGCTTGTCCACAGAAGAGACTTACATGGATCTCCCAGCTCAGGACTTCCCACTGTCCTCTCAACCTGTCCTCCCAGGTGTTTTACGAGATCAGATCGAATGCCCCTCTGGGCCCACGAAGGCAAACCAAGGGTACCGCCATCCCCCGGCCCCAGGCGTTTGGGCCAAGCCCTGGCATCACCCTGACCCCCCCCCACCCCCAGTCCGCCAGCGGAGCCCACCAGCTGCAAACTGTGTCCCAGTCTCTGCCTTCTGGCCCCTTCCAGGGCCACCGCCTTGGTCCAGCCCCATCACTGCGACTGCACCCCGGGACACATCCTCCCTGGCCTCCAGCCTCTGTCCTTGTCCCCTCTCATCCCTCCTCCACCAGCTTCCTATAAAGCCCGCATTAGATCTCCGCTCTCTCCTGCTCAAAAGCCTCCGGAGACCCTACTCAGCATAAACTGCAAACCGCTCACGGCTGCCGAGATCCTGCCTGTTTCTGTACAGAAAATGGTTTTTACACGTGAACGTGCTTGGGGAGAAAACTTAAATCGAAAGGAGAAAGATCCTTCCTGACACAGGAAAATGATCTGAAATTCACATCTCAGGGTCCATAAAGAAAGTTTTATTGGACAGACCCCTGCTCATTCCTCCATAGCGGCCGATCGCTGTTGTCGGCTGTGGGGGCAGAGCTGAGGCTGGTCTAGCCCCCGAGCCAAAAATACCTCCCGTCTGGCCCTTTTCAGGAGGAAGTTTGCTGCTGCTCTGAACCGTCCCCTTCTGCCGGCTGCCTGAGCTCAACCCCTCTGATCACCCCTTAATAAGGTTTTCTTTTATCTTCATTGCTTGTGCACCACCTGATTAAGATACTATGTGTATCTTTTGAAAAATATTCAGTTTACTCCCTAGAATGTCCCCTCCCCAAGGTCAGGCATTTTTGTCTATCTTGGTCACTGATGTATTCCACGCAGGACCGGCTATAGATTTTGCAGGGCCTGATGCAAAGTGAAAATAGGAGGCCCCTTATTTAAAAAAATTATTAAGAATTCCAAGATTTGGCCGCGTTTAGTGACTCATGCCTGTAATCCCAGCACTCTGGGAGGCCGAGGCAGGAGGATCACTTGAGGTCAGGAGTTCAAGACCAGCCTGAGCAAGAGTGAGACCCCGTCTCTACTAAAAATAGAAAGAAATTAGCTGGACAACTAAAAATATACAGAAAATATATATTCTGCTGGGTGTGGTGGCGCATGCCTGCAGTCCCAGCTACTCGGGAGGCTGAAGCAGGAGGATCGCTTGAGCCCAGGAGTTGGAGGCTGCAGTGAAGTGTGATGATGCCACTGCACTCCAGCCTGGGTGACAGAGCAAAACTCTGTCTTTAAAAACATTTTTTTTAATTTAAATAAGATTAAAATAAATAATAAAATGAATGGGAACATTAAAATACATAACTAAAAATAAATAAAACAGTAAAATAAACTAAATCGGGTAAACTAAGAAAAGCCACAAAGGCGTCATGACATTCCCAGAGTTCCCCAGGACATCGGGGACAGAGGAAGGATTCGAACCCAGAGCCACCTGACTTTAATTCCAGGCTTGTCACACCAGTGCCTCTTTTTGGCTTTCTGACCTCTGCCCCTGCCAAAAGATTCTGCCCGTCGTGCCCACAAACCAGACAGTCCAGTCCAGCCTCCAAACCTTTGCCCACACTCGTCCTCACCCCATTCCTTGTGTAACCTTTGCTTGTCCTTCCAGCCTCTGCCCCAGCCTGCCTCTTCCAGGCAGCCGCCCTGATTGCTCCAGAGCACGCAGGATGGGAAGGCTGCATCACATGTTGGAAGGACCAAAGGCTGTGGAGTGGGGCGTGTGTGGGTATGAATCTCCCCTTCACCCCTTTGCCTTGTGACCCGGAGAGGTGAGTTAACCTCTTGGGGCCTCAGTTTCCTTGCGGTTGTCAGTGAGAAGTCAAAGCAAATAAAGGATGCCAGGGAAACCAGCTTGATGGACCTCAGGGCCTTTGCACTGGCTGTTCCACCCGCCTAGGACGCAATTCCTGCAAATATACACAGCACACCCTCCCTCTTCCTCATCCGATCTTTGTTCAAATATCGCCTTCCCTGACCACCCTCTTTAAAACTGCAACCCTCTCCCCTGCCCTAGATGCGCCGATTCCCTTCCCTGCCGTCTTTCTTTGTCTCCACGGCACAAAATAGACTTTTTCACTCATTTATGTTGTTCAGTGTCCATCTCCCCCACGCAGCTGTCAGCCCCATGAGGCCAAGGATTTTGGTCTGCACTATTCCTGTGGGACTCGAGCCGCACCCGACACACTAAATATTTCCTGAGTGAACACTCAAAAGCAGGAGACCAGGGTCCCCAGGAAAGTGGGTCCTTGGAAAAGCAAGCGGTCACTGTGTCTGGGGACAGCCGAGATCCACTGGAGAGGCGGTGGTGGGGCAGATCCCGAGGGGTGGGGAGGGTTTCACGGGCGGCCATGCAGGGGGAGGCTGGCGCAGGAGGAGGGAACTGGCGGGGCAGAGGCGTGGTGGCCGGAAAGCTGGCTCGGGACAGCAGGGGGCAGCAGAGAGGGACGGGAAGAGAGGTGGGTGGCGGCTAAAAGGCATAGACAGCAACCTGGGGGTGGTGAGCTGAGAGGTCCCTGGTCACATCAGAGATGAATTCAATGACAGGCAGGAGACAGGAGCATTGGCGGGTATCCAGCACCTTGGGGGCCTCAGACTCACCTCTGTCTTCTTAAACCGCGCCCGGAGAGTCTTCATGGCCAGCGTCCCTGTCTCTCCTCGTCCCAGGCCACCTGGGGATGGGCAGGAGTTGGGGGTGAGGAACACCAGTCCTGGTGAGCGGAAGGGTCGGCTGCTTCCCATCCTCAGAAGGACCTGGCTCCTACAGCAGGACACAGACCTGCTCTGTCCTACCTGCTGTGTGTCCTGTGGCAGGTTCCTTGTCCTCTCTGAGTCTCACTACTTCATCTATACGATGAGGGAGATAAGCCCTTCTGTTTTTTGAGACAGTCTTGCTCTGTCGCCCAGGCTGGAGTGCAGGGGTGCGATCACAGCTCACTGCAGCCTCCAACTCCTGGGTTCAAGCGATCCTCCTGCCTCAACCTCCTGAGGAGCTGGGACTACAGGTGACATCATCACGCCTGGCTAATTTTTAAAATTTTTGGTAGAGATGGGGTCTTGCTATGTTGCTCAGGCTGGTCTCAAACTCCTGGCCTCAAGCGATCCTCCTACCTTGGCCTCCCAAAGTGCTGGGGTTACAGGCCTGAGCTACCATACCTAGCCTGAGATAAGCCCTTGTTGGCCAAGTCATGGTCAGTTTTCAGGAAGATCCCTAGCATAGAACCTGGAAAACAGTAGGTGCTCAATAAATGTACCTCACTGGTATTTCCTGTTGCCCAAACACATTGAGGTTTTTCTGGTCTCTAAGCTTTTATCTGTGCAGTTATTTCTGCCTAGAATGCTTTTTTTTTTTTTAACCCCTTCTCTGCTGAACTCCTATTCATCCTTCACAGACCAGTTATAAAAATCCCTTGCTCTGATCAGCTTTGCTTCTCGCTCCCAAGCAGAGAAGCTCCCCAAATTGCTAACTCCCCAAATTGGGTTCCTCTCACCCTGGCTGGGTCTCTTCCTCTGCCTCAGCCCTAGCTCCACAGGCTGGAGGGGTCTGGGCTGGTTCTGTCTTCCTCAACAGTCAGGGGCTCCTCGGGGACCGAATGCAGGGCTGAGGCCCCTCTGCACAGAGCTGTGTTTGCGGGATAGTCAGAGGGAACAACCTTGCCAGCCTTGTCACCCCAGATCTCCACCCGCCTTGGGTAAGTTGCTGTCACTCACAAAGAGGCCAGGCTGTGTGCATGTGTGTGCAGGAATATCTCAAGGGGGCGTTTTTTGAGGCGTGTGACTAGGGGGGCCTATGTCTAAAAGGAATCTCTGTGACCGAGTGTCCTTATTCGTTTCCTACCAGAGAGTGGGAGTGAGATGGCCTTTCACCTTTCCACCTGCCTGTGAATTTTCCAAGCCACTTTTCCACCCATCCGCCACCCGTGCACTCACTGGGGCATCCATCCTCCCACTGTACACCAACCCACTGGCCACCACCCCCCAACTCTCCCACCCGATTCACCTTCTCATGGTTCATTGCCCTTCAATCATGCTCCACCCATCACACACACACACACCCATCCACCCACCCATCCACCCATCCATCGACCCACCTACCCACCATCTACTCACCACCCATCCACCCACTCAACCACCCACCACCTACTCACCATCCATTCATCCATCC